TATATAGTTCATCTATTTATGTGTTCCGATTATATAAATTTATTATCATAACTATTATTTTAAGAATTACAATAATACGACAATGTAACATTAACATTGCAATAGTGGAGTGTACTAGAAACGAGACAACCAGAAAACAATGAGATAAGGAGACCGTTATTATCGCTACATAATTGAGGATACTATACTAATTTTGGTTGCGTTACGCGTATAGCACGACCAATAATATAATTCTTGCTCGGTAGAATTACTTCGATTTATTTATATGGAATAGAATTTTTATGTTGGCTATTTTTTCTTGCATACAAGCTTCGTTTTACTCCCAAATAAAAAAAAGAGCTTCGCTTCAGATAGAAGAAGAAAGTGAGATAAAAAAAAAAACACAGACAAATGAAAAACTCACCCTTCACGCCAACGTGTCGTTAATTACGATGGATAGTTATGCTGACGAAGACGCCTATTAGAACGGTGCCGATGGTGATTATGACTATTAGTACTATTATTATATCTGACTATTGAACGTGTAACTAATATTATAATCGAGTAACTTACGTCTGTCGGAATTATTCCTGCATATGTAGAACCGATATATGTATATCATTGTTGGACGTTTTTCTGGTCAGGTTGACCGGAAAGGATAGGCAGGGAGAAAGGGGGTGCGGGAGGCACATGGGAGAAAGCTAAGCTAGATATAGTAGAAACACTACACGCTGCTACTAAGGAAAACCAATAATGGACACGATAATAACAAAGCGACAAAAAAAAACTGCTGGCGGTCGACAACAATTTTTGCTGGCATTTCCGAAACGTATCTGACAATAAACGAGGAGGTGTTAGATGAAGAAATCTTGTAAACAATGTTGTAATGTGATAAATGATGATGAAAAGGACAAAGCGAATCGGTGTCGCCATTGAAGATGATGTACATTACTGTAAATAATAAAATAGAACGATAAATGATAAAAATTAACTTGTGCTAACAAACGGAGCCGATTTTTGTATTTGATAGCAGCTTAAGTATTTTTTTCATTGATTTTTGCAATAAAATTATGAAAATGTGATCGATGAAGTGGGTTTCTAACTGAAAAAAAAAAAGTAGGATTTCTATGGACAATCAATATTCGCTATCGACGAGAGGCGTCTCGTTATTATAGGAAAAAAAAAAAACAGATCATTTGAAGAGTTGACTTGAAGCTCGCTAAGCAGATACTGAACTTCACGCAGGTGAAGTTCAATATCTGCTCAGTTCGTTATTACCAGTACTGCACCGAAGAACGATATATGGCCCATGGGCCAAACGGACTGTCCGCCTTTATAGCTCGCCAACTACAGCGGAACATGATACTCTACCTCTACTGAAATACTAATCATCTTGTACCCTCTTATGGTGCCATTGTGCCTGCAAGATTCTACAGGGCTTGTAGTCGGCAATCGGATAGAAAACCAGACCTTAATATTCTGGGCATTAAACTGTTTTATGGCTAGCCTAGTAAAACCAGTACGAGATTTGGTATGAATTATTATAGCTAATAATGTTCAGCTGAGGATACTTCCAAATGAAGGAACATATCGACAGTAGAGATTTCCATCTCGTTATTAATAGTATTAAATAATGGTAACACGAGAGTAGAAACCTTTTGGGCAGGAGAATACAAGCTTAGATCGATATTAGCAATATTCCGAATAAGTAAATTGTATTTCTCAGTATCACTAGGAGAACGCCCGTCAAAAAATTGAGGCTAGGGCAAAAGAGGAAGGGCGTGCCGGCTACTATTTTGCCTAAGGAAACTGGCAAGGCGAAAAGTTGTAACGTCTGGCGAGTAAGGTAGATGACAGGTTTTTGTCATCGTGATTCTTGCGCTCTGAAGTTAAGCGGTATCGGTCAATTAGAGTCGTGTAGCTCTATTCATTGTCTTGGCCGCTTGCCACAGAGCTTTTCCAGCAATTAGAACTCACGAAGCTCCATCAAATTTGCCTTAGGATGAGAGAAAGGAAGTACGAGTTTATTTGTGATCTTTGCTCAAATCATGCGACACCCGTTAGTCAATTTTTTTACTATGTTGATCGAGGTAAACAGTTATGATATTAACACTAGCCCTAAGTGCCACCAAGCAAAAACACATTAACGCGCCAGTGCACTTTAGGATAAGTTGACTTCCGTTGTAAATCGCAATTACCCGTCATTGTTCACCTTTCCAGAACATTTGTTTTAAGTTCAGAATTTTCTTCCTGATTTTTTCATGTGTCTAGTAGTAGCACCTCAATTGAATACAAGGTTTATATGGCAAGCTGTTTATATCACTGTACTTTCAAAATGGAACTCGATAGTCGTTGGGTGCTCCGACTCCCGACTTTTCTTGCCTTATCTGCTGTAAATCTGAATGACGATAACTGAGTACCCGGTCTCAAATTTTTGAAGGTACGAGTGCACCTCGAGCACGAAGAGAAACATCATGGAGTGTCGCATTGTTATAGAACAGCATTATCTTGAAATAAAAAAAAAATAGCGTTTATGACTTTTCTGATTAAACGACCAAATGTAAAATATATGAAGTGAAAGAAATGTCTGTATATTCCCACCGAAGTAACTAGGGTTCTTCTTATGAGTTCAGCTCAATGAAATACGATTTACATTTAGCTGGATTAAGAAGTTTTGATCCGAAGGATTACAAGCGAAAAATCCGCACCGATGTTGATTTAACCTGGCGCTCAGTCCAACTACGGTCGATATCTACCAGCAGGAGTTCCCTTAAAACATCCGGTTTTACCACCGAATTAGCTTATTCCTCAGATACCTCTGAAAGACGTTTAAGCGCTATCTAATAATATATCAGGTGACCAAGTGCAATAGCGACAACAATGCAATAGCGTATCATCTACCCATTATATCTACTATAGTTCATCACGTCTTCGTAGACGTTTCAATATAGGCCCAACGTTTTTCGTTTTATCTATATAATTTTCATCGTAGTGTTATAGAGTATTTTTACGTTGGCCATACTATTATCATACATATTATTTCATGTAAATTCACTTCGGCAGTTGGGCTTTGGCATGTACCCGGGCTTGTCGGAATATAGCTGGGCATATCGTTCGATTCCGAAGTATTTATTTGAACAAGAAGCTTGATAGAGCCCCTGGCTAAAATTGTGATTTATAATAATAAGTCGGTACTATATATATATATATATATATATAAACCGCAGACAAAACCTTAGGACGGCGTGCTTTATATACAAATGTACATAGTTTTTAGGGTCCTACAGTGTGCCATATCCAAGTTTTCCTTAGTTTTTTTTCCGAACCCGGATAAAAACTAGCAATAACGTGGGTCGACGAACAGTTCGTCAAAAGATTCCACCAGTCCAGTGAGATTCAACAGGTCAAACGTTCGAACAAAACAACATAATGGGTAATTTAGAAGAAAAATTCTGCCCTAAATACGAAAATGATATCAAAGTGAGAGCTATGCATTCACGCATAACAATAAGACACTGTATCATATGAAAGGTGTGTCTGGCATATTTATCGCTAATGGTGCTGACGTTTGGCTTCATCCGACTTAAATCCAATCGAAATTTTGTGGCATTATGTTGAAGGGTAAATCAGGGCGGGACAGGGGACCATGAACATCTTACAACTCAAGGATACAATGCCCCAAATGAGTTCCCAGGATCCGAGCATGACAGAGGTGGTATAAAAGTGCATTTGGTACATTCTAAACCGAGTTGCGGCAATGATTGCAGCATGTGCTATGATTAGAAGCAGAAAGACACGGCCTTCGCATGCGAAAACCGTAAGCAGGTATTGTGTTTGACTGCGAAAATATCTTCGATAAACTCGACAATATGTGAAATTTCTTAAAGGACATTATATATAAATAATGTCGCGATAGCTAATACACTTCGAATGGCAATCATTCAAAGATAATATATGCGGCGCCAGCTTAAAGGGATCTAGCTAAAAGGCTTCCGGAAGGACATTTGTTGCCTGGGGCTGCACGTTCAGAACCAATGCGTTAGCTGATGAACAGCTCCCGATTGCCGTGCCGTGTACTGGTAATATACTACCAGTGCGCAGTGTTCGCTGCTTAAGTTTATTGACCCACATTAAGAGGACACAGAAACGCTTTCAAGATCCATAATGTTTCCATAAACTTGGTTTGGCGGATTATAGCCTTGGTCGCGTGAGGCCGGTGTTGGTACTTTTCTAACCTTAACGATATAGGTACTATTCTACGCTCGCCAGCGACCATCACGTTTACAGATTTTATATTCCCGAAGTTATATAACATTTTCTTTTGCTCAGAAAATATAAGCAAGTAATCGTACCCATAAGACAATAATTGTACGCTTATAGTTAGTACTTGTGCGGAGTGTTCTCTGAACTGTGTTGTTACCCTACTTTGTCGCCAATACAAATAAATTTAATAAGAGAATTTTGGAAAAACAAAGAATTGAATCTTAGCTTTACCTTTTGCTACTACCTAAAACCTACGTTATGCCTACATAATAGTTGAAAGGGTAACGTATTTACCTACTGAATGCAGATCGATTAAACCGGGCATAGCCATGTTTTGCTCTGTGCTTGAAGACGTCTGAAGCAATGCTTAATGGCAACAGCGGCTGTAAAATTTTAATAGCAATGCTTTCGTGCATGATAGAACCATTTCTGCAGCTTTTTCCCAGGCAGTTTTCTTAAACACCAATAATTCCAGCATCCTATTAGGATTAGCAGTTCGTGCAAGAAGTATTGGACATAAAAGCGTTCATGATTGAACATATAAAACTACTGAAAGAACCCAAGTTTGGCTACAATTTTCAAGATCAGGAAGTGGATAAACATATGTAAATTAGTTGCCTGTGGAGAATTTTCTGTACTTCTTTATCTTCAGTTTGCTTGTTCTTCATATCTATACACCCGTGGTTCCCTTCCTTTGCCTAGTCTCACGTCTATCACACTTCGTGTTTCAATTATTCAGCATTTACTCATTTATTGCGATCGGGTTTTCTTCCTCACTGTTCGCCTGTCCATCTGCAGATCGTGGAAGACGGTACTCGATGTTCGAATTCTCTGCAATCAGCGTTGGCGTCGACTTGAATATGCCTCCTCATTCGCTCACGCCCTCTGAAGGGCTAAACAAAGTAGATATTTAGGCAGCAGCACGCTTTTAGTTGGCAACATGAGACATTGATCCCCCTGTGGAGTTTAGGGCCTTTCTAAAAAAACAAGAAGACCCTAATTCCCAGTCCATGCAAGCTCGCCTTTATCCGAGTAAGGCCTTGTCCGTAGGAAATACTTAGGACGCTGAGTGGACTCATAGACCAAGTTGAAGGACTTGCAAGCTTCTTCCGTGTGTCGAAGGATGGCAGCCGTCTGGGTAGACCTCTAGCCTTAAAATGAAGAAGCGTATCTCACCAGCCGCGTTGGGTGGTATTGAGATAGTCGGTGAACCTTTTGTTTCATCTGGTAATCTCTGCTCTTAGAACCTAAGCAGCTTATTGTGTCCTTGTGTAAACTGAATTCGTGCTGCCGCTGGATCAATAATGCAAAATATGTAGCCGTTTCAATACGTGCCTGAGTGTAATGTACTGTTTCTTCACCTGGTGTGAAAAGAAAGAACGAGAAGACAATCGGGGCTAATTTTTTTCCGAGACAAACACTAGAAAGGACGTTTTAGTACATCCGTCAAATGCCCATCATTTGTACCGGTTATTATTCAGAGTACAGATTTTCTAACACGAATTAAAATCGCCCTATATTATTAAGTGTTAATAAGCCAAGAGGTTACGGTACAATCTGAAATATATAAATATATAGATGAGGAATTACATACATTGATGTTGACTAATGTATGCGTAACGCTTTAAGCATATTGTCACAATCTCTGAAAGGCCTTCGCTAACACAGACAATTCGCAAGCCTACATATATCTAGAGTTTATATATTAAAGCTAGATAATTTGATACAAATTGTACTGGGGTTAGAGCTCGAAGAAGTTTGGCAAACTGCCCAAAATTGGGGTAACGTTTTACATGTTAGACCTTTGCGTGCTTGTAAAATTGGCATTTGTGGACATCTGTTAAGCCTGGATATTTTTCCTTAAACCTCAGATTTATAAATGAACAAATCTTTGCGCGTCACATTGATTCAATGTTCACCATATCCACAATATTTTCTCCCTAAGTTTTAAAAATTTTTCACTTTTAGAATATCCCGCGCTTGAAGTCCAAAAAACCACCCGTATATACTTGAAAACCTACCTAAATAAAAGTTAATCATACTCGTGAATCATTTGTATTGTATTACTATACAACATTTGTGTCATTCTGTATCACTGTGGAACAGAGTTCATTTTTGCAGGCTTTAATTATACTTATCTCGAACCCATTTACCTCTTTCTGGTTCAAGTGTCTTTCGAGAGCATCAGATTCTGCACTTACAATACGGAGAGCATTTATTCCTATCCTGATTTATTAAGTGTAGTTCTAATGAAGTCTTGAAAAACTGTTTTCGTAGCTGACTCTCAGCCTCTGTTTTTTACCACTGTTTCAACGACTTAATAGGTTAGGGGGGCTCAAAATAAGTAGTCTGTAGGGACCGAGCAACAAAGATTATCACTAGATATATTCATTGCATTTCTGACTGCTCTGAGTTTGAATTAAGAGTTGAAGTGTGTATACGTTTTTCAAATTTCCTAGACCACAGTTCTGCCACATTAACTGATACGCAGACATTTCGCTATTGCCCCTCTGTGACCTAGTAAGGCCTTTCGAATACCACAGGCAGACGCTTATAGCTACATGTGCGCACAAACGCACGGAAAGCCAAGGGAAATCTCAGTTTCCATTCATATCCACTTCTCCAAGAAAATACGATTTCTTCACAAACCTTCCTTTTTGTAAATTACTTCATTTTCGTGACGAGTTGCATGCCATGTGCGTCGAGGTTCCACGTTAAGTATTGCTACTGGACATCTCGGTTCCTGAAAAATTGATACAAAAATGATTCCACTAAAATTGAGGTTTCATGCCCATGAGCTTCCAGCGTCACGGAATTTAGGAACAAACCATCGTTTTGTCAAAAACAGTGAAAATTGTTCTAATGCTTATTGCGTGTCTCCGACGGGATGCCATCTGTTGTGTTTACATTATCGTGTTATACCAAAACAATATTTTTTTTATCTAAATATTTTTGTTAGTTGTTAGTTTTTTATGAATGCTATTTGTCCTTTTAGTCACGTTCTTCATTCCGAATTTATTTTGGTTAGGTTAGGTTAGGTTCAGTGTATTGGAAGTTCATGCAGAGCAACTCGCAAATGGGATTTTTTCAAACTATAAATAGTGCAGAATAAAAAAACTATCGCTCTAACTTCAACTACCGCTCGCTTGAAGTTTGAACCTCATTGTTGAAGTGTTTATGCTGTTCGCGAAAAAAGACACATTGATCATTGTTTAGATGCGATTTTATTCATGTAGACATAATTCAAAATAAATGTGTTCCATAAAGTACCACAATGGCGCCAATGCGCACCTTCTTTGTAGGCTTACAGAAAGTAACTGTGCTCAACAAAACATAATAAAGAATTTCTTTAGTTCCAGCTTAATTGATATCAACACTCCTAATAAATGACTTATCAAAACTTCTGCGATAATTCCACTCAAAATGAGTGAAATTCGCAAACGGCTAAAGAAGTCTGATATCATTCATAGAAATCAATACGTGCCGCCTTAAGACCTCCATTTGCGACAGGGCTCCTGGGCAACTAACGAAATCGCTGACCAAGTTCCATCTCCTAATATTTCAATTTGATTGTAATGATACAAGACCAAGATGCGTTTCGCCGAGCGCTTCAAGCCATTGTGCTTTATCGCGAAGTTGAACTTGGCGCGACGTGACGCGAATTCATTGTACACGCGATAAACGGTGTTATTTGATTGAAGTTAATGTCGCAGCAATGACTGTATCTATTTTCTCACGTAATTCGAACTATTAAAAAATGAACAATATAAATAAGATGCATAAATTGGTAAGTGTAATTGACCACACCGCATAGAGAATCTAATGCTTTAGGAAATATCAAAGCCATTGAAAATACTCAATGGATAGAAAAATGCCATGAAGATCACAGCAGGATAATGTGCCTACAACTTGGCTTTGTCCTTGTGCGTGTCCTGCGATCATAAATCAAACGAAGATACTCTATCATACTCCATAGTCGATCCGCTACCATAGTTTAACAGGAACATTAATAATATTAGACAAATAAATGAAGACTCGTTTGGCGCTTCATATTTAATACATAAACAAGTCTTCATGTCTCAATCAAAGGTATGTGATATCTGTACAGTCAATTGACGCTTGAAGCAAACTCGAATAGCAATTATTTGCATTTTTTTGTACCAGGGGTTCCAAAATGGTAATATCATAAGTATTTCACATCTAGCAGATAAATGTGGGCATGGTAGATCGTAAAGTAAGACTTGAGGCGCTCGACTGAAGATTCAGGGATATGCAGGGATATGAAGCAAATTAAATAAACAGTACCCATAGACAAGGGGTTACGCTACTAAAGTCTGTATATAAATAAGGGTAGTAAATTTAATAATGACCGTATGAGCTGGGAGTTGATATGAAGCGTTGTAATGTAAAGCTACAATCTTCTACTTAGATATATTCATTGCTTGTATAGCAGCACGGCTTCATTGCTATCATTGGTCCTGCGTTCAGCTCCGCAATATCCAGGCATCGTCCCGACTACACTCTATTTGCTATGTAAAGACTTCAGCCTAAGAAAGCTGCTTTATGACGATAACTGTGGGGGTGGCTTGAAAATGTCCGCCAAATCTGGCCGTTCAATGACCACCACGCTGTCTCTGGATTTGTAAAGAAAAAATGTAATAGATTTTTGGTTATACACTATCGAGTAATTCTATCTACCGACTAACAAATCGCTCACCCTAACCGGTGCAAAACTAGCCCGAAGTATTTGCTTTGTTCTATTTTTGAAGCTCTGACAATGTTCTGATCGGGCGTATTTACTGGCTATGCAGCTGTACTACTGCTGCTTGGTTTACGTGGATTTTGCATTCGGCTTTGCGATATACATATTATGATACCTATTGATTGAAAATTTAAAAAGAACTTTCTTAGTAAATTAACTACAGCTTTGTGTTTTGGACGACGCGCAACGTGACCGGTAATAGCTTTGGCTATGCGAAGACTATCACGCACCTGTGAAACAATTCTGCCGGGAGAGGTCGCAACATGTGTGGTTCCACGCTTCGGTCGATGAGGTCCCTTGATCCTAGCGCCACCTGGTAGAGCATGTGCGCCTCGTCAGTTGATAAAGAACGGCGCTCGTTTGCGGCTAGCAGCCCATTACCGCTAGCGAATTGTCCCGGGACCTAGTAAAGTCGGAAGCAGTGAACATTTTTTAGATTCAATATGCTACATTTGACATTTTGGTCTTTAGTAAGCTTAACTCAGTAAGGATTGTCGGAGCTATTACAGACCGAATCGATTAGCCTTGTATACCGTTACTATTTATGTGACGTGCCGTGCTCAAACGGCGTATAATTTCTAGTTGCTGTTCCTATATCGTACACTATAAATATATACCGTGCAAACGAACCTCACGTTGGCGTTGATTGATGTGTGAACTTCGCAGGTCCCGTTGGTTGGGGCTCTTATTCTGAGGAGGAAGAACGCTAAGTCCATCGCGCCAATGAGGTAAATATACAGGCCCAGTAGGCCGAACTGTACAGCTTGTTTTTGGTATCGCTGAAGATGACGACGTTACCGTGAAAGGTCGACTTACCCCATCCCAGCTTCCAGTCCCGTATGCAAAAGGACTGGACGCCAGGGGCGCGTTAGATAATCCCGAAATACCAGTGGGAACTCCAAAATATGGAGTCGCCTCACGAACGGAGCTTAGGTTTGTTTCGTGTTCCACACGAGAGTCTCCAGAAGACCAGCGCCTAAGGGGTAGATATGGACAAAAGTTTATGCTATTTGCCAAGATTTGTACCTTGCTGTAAGATAACTAACGAGACTTAGCTGACAAAATAGGGCTTCTTCACAATGCAAGGGACAGATTGAACACGCATGTCTGATGCCAGCCTTCTCATATTAGAAAGTTATTCATAAGAACTGTTGAAGATATAAATTGTTGCAACAGCTCACTTCTTTCGAAGCACGCTGCAGGTTTACCATAATCAAACCAGCATATTACCTATTATATATATATTAGCATATATACCTTCAACAACAGAACTATTATTACCATTTTCTTACATCTTACGGCTATCCTTTTTGTGTGAACAAGTCTTCGAAATCACCTCTTTGGTGTACCGTCAAGAACCTGTTCCACTAAAAAGAGTAGCCAGAGGATATTTTGTTTCGGATGTTGGATCTATCTTTTGTTTCGAGTTTTACGTCCGGTATCGCCGTTAGGCATTCCATTAGAGTGCTGGCTCCCAGCACGAAACAAGATCTGTCTATGCTCGGGTTCGATCCTAGACCACAACGTGTTCCTAATATTAGCAGGCAAAATTGGATCTATCCAGGTTCTCTCGAGCAAACCTATGAAACGCCAATGCTTGTGTCTTTTGGAGTAATAATTCCTGGTATTTGATAATCCTTTTTGATTAAAATGCTAGTACAGATCTAATCCAGCATGGCTGCACATCACTTGTTCTACATGACAAGTCAAGATATACGCAGCAGCCACCCAGATCTCGCCGTTCCTTCGTCATTACCGTTGGGCAGAATGCAATGGTGAGTGATGAACATGCTTGATGGGGAATAGCGAGGACTGCTGTATTAGTGGATGCGGCGTTGGGGTTTTCGGACTACCCAAACGTCCTATGCGCTGTCGTATACAGATATCGCTTCCGTTGTAAAGGCCTCCAGCAGTGGATAAACTCGTATTATGAACATCGGAGTTTTCAATGAAAGGGGGATTACCGACAAAAGAATTTGCCGCGATGGCAGATCCGCCTCTTCCGAGGATCGCGCGACCTGACGTACATTTCATCGCCTGTTGTCCTACTAAAAAAAATACCACACGACAAACTGTTTTAAATTTCTGTAATCAACTAATTGTTAGCCCTGGCATAGCTTGCAGTCGTACGTATGGCAAGCAGGACTCGATCAAAGTAGTTCGACATGAGGAGCCTATTATGCGTACAATGAACTTCGCTTTAGATCATCCATAAGGTGACTCACTCGTGTCGCAGATATTTTCCGCCAGAACCGCTGGTGGTACACTGGTGCGTCGCTGTACTACATGGCCTGCGCGCGCAGGGAACTCTGAATCTGCTGAAATTAGCTCTGCAGACATGGTAGGACATCGCTCACGAACCTCGGATATGTTTAACGTCCGATCTGCTGCCGCCCGCGTATCAGATGACGAACTGCGCCGCTCGACACCACTACACCAAGTATCTGTAAGTATTGGGCATCGCTAATACATAACACTAACATATGTGTTTGGAGTCTAAACTCAAGGCGACTTCAACAAAACGATGACAACGGAGAACGAATTACATCAATGAAGCTATAAAAAATTGTGTTGCTTTATTGGCCGACACGGTTGCTTAGACGGCCTGGTCTCTGGCCAAAAGTCGTTGAAAAACCCGCCAACGACACTCTATAATATCTGCATGAATAAAGATATATTTAACCAATAACCTATATATATTACAAGTAAATACAACATTTTTTTATGGCAAAGCGTTATGTACTACCTCACTCATGGAAGTCCTCCATTGTCATCGTTTTGTTTGGGATCAATTTGAGTTTAGACTCCAAACACAGGCGTTCCGAGTGAAAAAGTGAATTTAGATTACCGACCTTTCGCCTATGCTAGAAAGCTGCATTACTAATCAACATAAGGATTTCGTTCCATGTACAGCGTAGATTGTAATTAAATGTAAAAGTTAATTGTCTTCTTTCAACAGTGGCTTGAGGTAGTCTCGGTGGAACTCACAAAGCTCCGCAAAATGCGTTTTTTCGACCGAGATTAATATCAACCTTTAAACGGAGTCGCTTCGGCAACGTTTCCACCTTGGAACAAGACAATAATCCTCAGAAATTCTACCGGACATAACTATTAAAAACCGCCGTTAATCAGCTATTTTCTAAATGGATAATCTGAGCAGGAAGAGAAATATTACGCGAAAAACACTTACGTGTTTCGTTCATCATCATTTAATAAGCTAACTCAAATACCCTCATATAATAGTACCAATCCCTTATCTAACTTCCATTTTAACTTTCTCCTTCAAACAAAACGACGACTGCTGCTGGGTGTACTTCGGGTATTGAGAAGAATTATATAACAGATAAAAGAGACCAGTCGTCTTGTTTGGTATTTTCTTCGGACAAATGACGCCATCTTATATTAAAATATCAAAATTCACTTCAAATGATTTTGTTGGTAATGGTTATGCTAGCGGCGAGTGCTAAGTTTCTGCAATTCGTCGCTCCAACCAGAGCATTTGATCATCTACTACCACCGTGTACTCCGGAGAGCAACTATGTGTATAAGTGGAATCGGGAAAAAAAGCTTGGTGTTTTCCAAAATTTCCCTTTTGCCCTACGAATGAATATCTATCTGTATTTTCGATCATCTCTGGGGCTTTTGGTCAGCAGGAAAATAGTCCCGACATAGTTTCGTTATGCCAGTGCGACAAATAACAATAGTGAGGTTCGTCACATATGGCAAAATGCGCACCTTTGAAAAGTAATGGGGCAGTGATTTTGTGTTGGTGAGAATATGTATATAATGAATATATGATCTTCTAGGTTCGATTAACTCAGTGCCATCACGCCCATCCGGCAATGGCGGACCATTTATTCAGGTTTACTTGAAGCAGACATTGAGTTAACAGCAATTGCGCAGGATCTTATTAAAATCGCAAATAAACCGAACAATTTATAGTAAATTTATTTTAAATCATGAGATCCAGAATCGTATATCAAAGGTTATCACATCACATGAATGTGGCACTGGTGTGCATCAACAGTGCATAGATTGCGTTTTCTTAAATCTGTTGAGAACCCCTCAACAACAAACGGTAGAATCTTTTTTTGCGAAAATACTTAGTTTTTTTTTTATGAAAACTGGAAAAGCGGCTTTTTAGATACTTGTGCTGTTATTTTCTGTGCAACCTACGTAACAACGTACAAATTCTGTCGCGGACGGTATACAAGTGTCTTAAGTCAGTAGCTAAAAAATTAAAAGTTACGAAATTATTCTTCGCATGGGATTGTTCGTCATTCACTTGCGACCCTTTACGGATCGTAATATGCCCCGGGTTTTCACTGTGTGTTATGAAATGGTCATTAAATTGTTAAGAACGTTTGCCATCAATTCGTTCATTGTATATCGGTGGAAGCTGTCGAACTTCAATGACAAACACGTGTGAACCCGCAGCCAGCTCAGCTGTACTCAAAATATAGCCCTACAAGTAGAAAAGTATACTTTAAAATATCGAAAAACCTTTGTTAATATGAACGGATCACAAATCCCGATAGAAATTCTCAGTAGCGAAACTTTCCTTAGAAATACATACCTGACATACTGGGCAGTCGTGGAGTATTTGCGCCCGTCACCATAGAACTGTCGATAGCTCGCCGTATACCACTAACGCTACTATCGCGAGTCGCTCCTCTCGGGTAGTAATTCCCTTTCTCATTTCGCTCTACATCTCTATCGTCTGCCTATAATATATGGTAAGCGTTCTTGACACCAACATTACTCATGGTTGCGGCAAATTTCAAATAGCATGCGCTGGACGATTGCTCACCCATAATAGTCCACTGTCTCGTGTCGATGGCGTAATCTTTTTAATTAACGAAGCTCCCACTTACTACCAATTACTGACGAGTGCACCTGGTAAATATTGATGAACGTCTGTGCGGTATAGTTAGGAGCTTGTATAGAGCTCCTAACAATGATAATGACCATGATGGAATACGATGAGGTCATTGTACAATCAACCACAAAAACAACGTCTATGCGCCATTGTAACGATAACATGCTAATTGCTTACGTGTATGACATACCTTTTTTAGAGCCATTTTACGGATTTCACTAATCCTAGTCCTCGTGCAGGTTTATAGAAGAATATAGACTTACCATAGCTTTTACCCGTAGTTAAATACATTGATGTTGATGAAACCTGATTTCTATCGATAATTAGCACATCTATCGCACTAAAACATATGTCATATAAAACAAATTAAGACGTAAACACATTATCGTAGATTAAAAAAAAAGAAGTAATTTATAAATATAAACTCCGAAAGAAGCCAGAAAGCTTTCTCGTTTTTTTTTTTTGTTATTTTATTTATTCATTAAATTTTCGTAATCATTTGTGTTAATAGTTTACTGGCTTAATTTTTCGTTCTCAACTGTACGAAACAAATGTCCGCGCGTTTTGCTCGAATTGTGACATCGAATTAGTTTGATGTACTTGCTGCAACTTGATCATACGGTCTTTCCGATGTGTAGTTTAATATTATTGTGAAACGGAATGACCACCTTGTTTCTAGGGCTTTTTTTTTTCTGTATACAACCGCTCCAAAGGTAATGTCATGATCCTTTTTGAAAAAAGACCTGTGTAACTACGAGCTTGAGCTCATTTCAAACGGCGACCGATTGATCTTCGTGCTCTAATTTGACGTACAGACATCGCTTCTCGTCACCGGTAACAGTTACTAGGATTAATAGAGAAGCTCGATTTTTGAATTCTGATATCTAAAGTTCCATCTTTAAACTAAGAAAATTCTATCGAGTCAGACTTCCCTTTCCAACTTCTAGCAGAAGATGGAATATAACAGACGTTCATCAGAAGCATCCGCCCTCGGAGCCTCAACTGAAAAAATGTTTTTCACACACGAAAGTCAGAACAGGCTTATGGGCTTCTGGAAAATCTTCATGGAGAACCACCATTTAAGTGGTATAAAAGTTCAAAGTATCTAACTTTGACTCGACCTTTTTAACGGCTTAAATTCGTCTTTTACGCAGATTCACTATATGCTCGATATGAAATTAACTGCCTCGTTAGGAATGAACGAGTAGTGGAGACGCGTCTCCATTTGACCGGATTTATAGAAATTATCTTTCCTCGTTTTATTCAGCACTCAATCCACAATAGTAAGTCTCAGCCAACTACTGTCGTTTGGTGTTATGCCGTAGAGTGTAACGTAGATCATAGTATCACGGTTTTCCATTGCGAATCGGCCTAGATATAGGGTGATGAAATAAATTTTGTATTACACTTGTCTGTGCTGTAATCCATCATAACTATCCATAAAATCGTTGCCAATGTCGTTACTACGAAATGCCCGCACAGGACGACTAGAAACACTTTTTGTTTGCAGTATCATAGTTCTGGATATTAGTGACGAAGATTAACACGATGTACGCCATCTTTTTTCGTATATGTTCGTGTCTCCAGCGCGTCGCAGGTCGTTACGAGTGGTTTGCTTAATTCCTAAGCGAACAGACAATATTAAACTATTATGTAAACGGAAAATGTAATAAAATGTTATCGTCGTTACTATGAGTACTCAAGAGTTTATACAATAAACAATAAAGAAAAGCCATCATTGAAAGATCGTTTGCTTTTCAATCTTTTACCACTATACGGCCGACTGGTCTTTCGGTAGGCCGAGGCAACCGTTCTCGAATATGAAACGTTTGATGAACGCAGGCACAATGTTCCTACGGTAGTGATTCAGTGCTCTACCGTTGCGACTTGGTTCAGTGCACTTGTCCCTGTAACAAAATAGCGAATAATCCTTCAGAAATCGTAAACCAAATAGCTTTTTTTTTTTTTTTTTATTTAAAGAGCAACTACGAATGGCGTCGAATTACGCATAATCAAAATTATGGAGTCAGCTTTTGATGTGAAAATTCACAACGACACCAAAGCAATATTACCGATATGTTTAACGACGACAAGCCGATCTGTTTAAAGAAAATTACGTTTAAAAAACAGAAGACTTTACTATAAACGCTAGCGGAACGACTGTTGTCGTGTAGATACATTGATCTGTTTTCGTTTCTAACCTCTCAAGAAACCTCTCAATCGAAAGTAACTGATACGAATGAGAGGACTATCTGAACACTGATGGACGTCTAAGCTTACTTGTTTGATCACAGAGAGGATCGTAGATCGAGCAACGTGCCTTGATAGGATAGTCGATTCCTGAAAATGAACCTGTAAGACGCAGATAGAACGCTTAGCTGGGCGAAGATGTTCGCTGCACTCACAACTCCCGTGGAAATCTAACTTTTTTTGTGCAGCTCATCGACAATAGTGGAACACGCACTGCAGAGAGTTAATATCCAGGAGGTTTCGTCTGCGCATAAAAAGGGGGAATGTTAAGATCTATATCTAAGGATGAACAAATACAGACTGAAACAAATCGCTCTTAAGTTGGGATGGAAAAATAGCTGCTGCGATATTCCCGATACAGGGTTTTTGGTCATCTAAAAATAACAGAATTATCGATTTCTCTCTTCATAGTCGTAATATTCATAATGATTTTTGATAATACTAACTACGCCGTTTACGTACTTGAACGGTATGAACAAGATCGTATAGAGCGTGACATTACGGTTCACAGACGTCGCTGTTTGTTCGCAAGCCATTTCTAGGACTAACGACTATCATATAGACAAGGCAACCTAAATTCTAGATAAAACTCACCTGATTGTACTCCTGCATGTATATGATGCTCGTCTGGCTAACTTCGTCAGAGTCGATTTTCGTCTACGAACTTTTTTTGTACTAGCAGTATACGTTCACACCCGTCACTCCAGCGACTACTTCTCCGTGTATGGTGGCGCCCTCTTCTAAAAACACAGAACGGTTACGGGAATGTTGATTAATTATTGCCTTGATTAAGTATTTCTTACTGCCTCCTCAAAAATATGCCGTCCAGAGAAGATATGTATCTATTGACCCTTATTGCTTATTGAGGCCTTAATCTTATTTACCTTTCAATCATAATGGATAACAGCGAAAACGCGCAATCAGTGCATTACTAAATCAGGTACTCCCGTGCAAATACGGACCCGTAGATGCCTTTTATATATATATATATATATATATATATATATATATATATATATATATATATACGAATATGGAATTCACCTTGATATCGAGCTTGGGCGCAGTCATTACGATGGAAAACAACGTTCTTCAAGTTAAGATGGCGTCAGCTCCGAATTTGACTATCGGTGTAATCGAAGCGTTTTGAATGAGAGAACATAATAACTGGTTATGTATAATATATAGATAAATAATACAAAAAAAAAGTGTTTTTGTTCCTAATTTGTTATTTTTCTGATTCCTTAAGGCACTGGTTTTTAAACTGTCTTTCTACAAAAAATCACAGACTGCTAACAGAAAAGTTTTTTGGTTGGACAGTCGCCCTTTGTCCACGTGCTTTGTCATTGTGTGGACGATTTTCCGGTAAGAAAGTGAAGCGGGTTAAGCTGCCCATGCATTGGCCAACAAGGTATCTATGATTTTCCTCGTAACTTGCAGTATTTCGTCCGGGATGATAGCTGCGTCCCGCTCTTCCATTTAGTGCCATCTGTTATAAAAATGATAGTAACTAGTGACTTTGTGTAAAAAGCAAATTTAGGAACAATGAATGTTAACGTTTTTCGTTTGTTCTTCTTTCACCATTGTTTATAGGCGTATCAAACACTACCTCATATGAATAATACAAAGTAACCAAAGTTTACCGCTTTCAATTCTTCTGTACCATTTTTTTCGAATAGTATCTTTCTAAACGAAAGCAATCAAAAGTATAGCTACTCATGTAGTTTGATAATTGTGTTTCGCCTCTGAAGACAGCCGTTCCGAAGGCTGTGCTCTCATTTCCAGGATTCGCCATACAGCCAAATGAATAACACCGAAGCCACGCGACAGGTATATAGGTGAGAATAGGGGAGTATTGTAGATGATGTGGACTTCCAATAGCCAACCGTCGGACGTTTCGATTTCCACCTTCGCCAGGTAGAACGGCCTATTTAGCATGGAAACGGTAACATTTTCCGGTGATAACGGTTGCATATTGTCAGAATGGCCCAATATTAACAAAACGCTATCTGAGATCTAGCTGATTTTAATACAATCTGCTACAGAAGAAGGTATAAAGATTATCGAAGTGCACCTCTGTGAAGTGATGCTTCGGCCGTATGGAAGCGTCATAGAAATTAAGGAAATGAATGAACTATTATGTGAGAAGATTATTCTCATATAGATCTAAATTGTTTGTATCTTTACCACAGTCGTAATCATCAACACAATCATTCTGTCAAAGCGACGGAAGCATGCGTATAGAGACACGTACACACACAGAACGGCACACTTACAGTAGTAAATAGAACTTAGCGAGAATCGTTGGTCCAAGTCTTCTTGCTGCCAATTCTGTTAGCCAATGGCAATGCTCCACCTGAACATACAATATCTGATGAATAATAATATAATAATAAAAGGTAGTAACTATGATAAACTTTATCAGGCGCGGCAGAGTGACTTACATATGTTGGTCAGTCACTCAATATCCCCCTGTGATATCGACATGTGCTGACAGACTCACAGGTCTTCAGCGCTGTTAGTCATGTGCACGTGTTCAACATTCACCACCATTAAAAAAACTTCGAATGTTCCATGGAATCCTACAATAGTAATAAGTCTCTAGATCATAATGATACATTAAAAACAATTAATTTTATTACTCTGATATTAGATAACTTTGTGATTCGTCTGTGCATGTGATTCTATTCAGTGGCGGAATTTATGCAAAAGGGAGCTCTACATTAATGCTAATGAAACGCTAGAGCCTCAAGTAGTCCTAACTAGCGTGTTTGTCCTGCTGCATATATACTGGGGTTTTCATTATTAATGCAAAATTACAGCGGTCATATCGATAGGTCTTCATCAGACAGGGACATTTGCCATTTGCTATAGCTTTGATTGACATGTACCTCGAAATTAGGGCTATTAATTCTTTTATTCTCATTATTGATGTAAAACTGTCTATCTTCTATAATTTTGAAAAATTGTTATTATCAGCGGCAAAACCGGACTGCATCCGATACTATTAACACATCTACACAAGACGGATTACGAACGATGCTAAATTCATTAATGCTCGGTGACACGAGTAAGTCGACTCGTGATGGTTCTATAGTGCTACGTTAAACTAAAATGCAACAAAATCATAGAATGCTAATAATAGGACTACAGCCATGACCAAATTGCCATGTTAAGCTTTTTAAATATCCAGGATCCTGCACTTTTTTCTACATGCATGATTGGTAGAGCAAGGGATACCAAGCGTTTTAAACCATTTGTCTATGGATTAACCTTTTACCTCTTTATATACATATTAGGTCAAAATCATCTCGTCAAAGGAGAGTAGGACAAAAGAGATTTTTGCTATCTAGTAGCTTGTGCTAAACATCATTCAATTTTTTACAGTAGGTTTATCAAGTTACACTATCAAAAGACATTATGTATGTATATGCCGTTTATTAAATAGAACAAGGACTTTAAGGTTCGCTTACTCAAAGTTATGTCTCATATTTATATCGCTCCATCAGTTTACACAGCATTGTGAATCTTAACTTATAAGACGGAAAGTCATCATGTCTCGGACCACATCGAAAGTATATTCACTTGTAATAGAATTCACAATTTTTTTTTATTGATACTTCTATCGTCTTTATCACGGCTCGTAGAGTTAATGGCCCAAGCAAGCATAGAATATGTAGATTTAGGTGATTACTTCCCTTGTCGATGCGTGATACCATAAGACATTTGTATAATCGTTTGCCTGAAGGCAAAATAATTGTCACAATGATGGGTGGAAGCATAACGACTTGATAAGCGCCCCTTTGAGACAGGGTCCCTGTGTCACACTCATACCGAACGAACGAGGTCTTTCACTAGTACCGTGTAATGTAGTCACGATAATACTACGCATTCAACGCTAGAAAACAACGTTCACTTCGCACAAACGCCGACAGATCGACGGGAATAAGTCGTCCGCAATCGCATAATTCTGTTATTCAGTGAAGTTATCAAAACTAATGTATACACCTTGTTCAGAAATCAGTGGCTGTTCAGAATGTCATTAAGTTCAGGTATCAGTACAAGAGGAACTAGGACGCTAGGATAACGATGCCCATAACTAAAAAAGGTGCAAACCTGTTGTTGCACTGACTGTTCTCAGGACGGGATGAGAATAAAGCTGTGGTTATCTACAAATTACGTGACGAAGAAGACTTTCGATCTTTCTATGACGCTGTAGACCTTACCTGCGGAAGCGGAAAGATCCTGGTCAGATTTATGCTGCCGATTATAAAATACAATGGAGGCGAATATATTCGGTAATTTTCACTTGCACTTCTATTCAATAATCTCCTTTAAGTTCACTTAGCCAGTAATAACAACCACACGAATATAGAGTAATGCTTAAGAATAAAATACAGAGCACAATAAGCACGTGATTCTTATCAGGTGGTTGTCCTTAGTGCCTTCTATATAAATCAAACTAGAAACACGTGACCTGAATTCTCATAACCATTTCGTTGCCTTCGACGAATATGTAACGTACGGATGTATGAGTAATGGCCGTTTTGAAAAAGATCACAAATCGACATTTTGTTAATGCCAAGAGTACGAGCTCAAAACTGCCAAAAGCATCTGACTTTCAACAAGATTCGAGCTAAACTGCCTCCGATCTTGCAGATGGAGACAGCCGTCCGAACGCAGTGCGGCGGAAATTCTTTACAAATCTAAAAGAAAAACTGTAATATTTTACTTTTGTTGCCATTTGTCAACATTTTTCTCTTTAATGTCTAGGTTTAAAGCATGTGATGTGACAAAGAACGAAAACTACGCAAAACATATTGTATTATCTCTTCGTTAGGGCAACAATAATGGTTTTTCCAGTTGCTTCCGTAAATCTGCACCATACTTTGTTGGAGAATGGGTTTTGGCGCCGTTTATAATGAACCTGTTAATAAAATAATTGTCTTCGTAGTTCTTAGCCTACAACTCATACCCATGGTCGATTATAAGTGTAAAGGTAAGACTAGTTCGGTATAGGCTACAAATGTAACTCTAATTAAATTATTAAATTTAGATACCGTACTGTGAGGAGCAGGACCGATGCATATTTGGTGTATGGAAAAAGATTTAAATTGAGTTTTGGTAGAAATTGCAGCTCAAAAACAATTCTAAAAAAAAATGAACCGAGATCTCAGTGGATGGAAACCATGCCACCCTTTTCAGCAACTACAACACGCAGAGATCTCACAGCCAAGATATCGTGTGAACTATTAATGTAACGCAATTGCAGCGACAAAAGACGTTACATCAATAAAGTTGTCAATTCATCGCTGACGGGCGTACAGTTCAGTTTGATAGTTCCTGTTCCATCAAAATTTCTTAGATTAATTTAAATATTCAATCTTTAATTAGAAACAAAAATGTAAATATATTTATCCTTTTCAAGACGTGCTTAATCAAAAGTAAAAAAAAAAACCTGAAGTTCAAACAAAGCATTCAAGCCTAGATCAGTAACAAACTTGAACTTGAGATCCTACTACGCGCTTTATTTCTTATACATTATATTTTACAACAGAAGCCACTAAAGCCTTACTGCTACTTAATTTCATTGACGAACCAACATGGTAGAACGTTCCATCGCATAAGCGTCATAGGGTATTTTTTGCGCGTATTTGTAGCAGACGGACTGCGAGTGCGCGAGATGGTAGTAAATAATAGAAAAATAAACACAGAACGTTGTTCGATTTTGTGCTTGGCCGCTCACTGGCGCAGTCTACAAAGAGTTTCTAAGCGGCAAGTTTATCAATCGGCAGCTCACAATGAACAATTTGTTCTTAAACTTCAATGACAGTCAAAGGGTGGTAATAGTTCTTCAAATAAATGAGGCCTAAATTATTTCACGGAACTCGTAGCCTTGCGTCACTCGTAACGACTGTCAAAAGAGGACGGAGATGCTTACACAAGTTAGAGTATAAAATCGATGACAATTTGTTTACAGTAAATGAAAAAATTCACGTCGGTGAACTGTTCTAATAACAGTTTTTTAGCTGCATATTCTTTCAACAATGTTTCGTCTCAAACTGGATCTCGGCGCGTTTAGCCAGTGTTTTCAGACACCGTTCTGGGAATTCGAGAGGCACGGTATCCGTCAAAGCACAATACTTGAATATGCACAATCGGTGCTTGCGAAGTACGGCGTTTCGGAAAGTAAGTAGAAAATTGTAGAAATTGTTGAAAATGCATTGTCAAAAGTTGCGTAGCGATAAATGACTAGCACAAACAAGCTTTTTCTAACAGTCAAATATAATATACACTTTAGGTCGTATCGAATGGACGGTGGTCAGTATTAGAATCAGTGCTTATATTTACACATGCGAAATTGAGTGAAAAAATATATCACATATAACTAACCAGTTCTGTCTTGTATTACATCGTAGTACAGATGGCGAATCTGACAGCGATGTGAGAAGTAATGTCAGCATTATGCGAAATTAAACTTAAAAAGAGGGACTTCAAAATGCGCTAATTATTATCGATTTGTTTTTTATGTTAATTACGATTACCTAAATTCGCATCAAGCTCAAACGCTTACACTACTATACAAGTTTTGAATATAATTCAAAAGCAAGTTAGTAAGTTTAAATATTGGCTCATTAGTCCTACAGTAGGCATTCCACACTATATTCTTCGTTCTATCAATTATGTGCAGAATATCCCACCATCTATTTAGAGGATGCAATCATTCCCCATAACCAGTCGCCAGAAATTGTCCGAGATGGTGATCTCCTTCGGTTTGTTCCATGTCAAAGAAACCTCGCGGGCGCTGGTCCATCGCAGGTGAGTTTTACAAATGATTCACTGCAGCGTTAACATGTCATATACAATAGTATACACAACAACCATATAACTTGTTAGAGATTGAAAGCTAAAAGTTCTAAGCACTGCTCAATTATTGGCGACGTACGTGTCGCAAAGCATGATTTGTCGTGGAGCAAGGTATCGCAGTTAGTCGCCTGGCCTTAATTTTCAAGGCTAAAAGATACGGATTCAAAAACCAGTTTCGGAAAAAGTCGCATGGTGCCGAAAAAAAGCTTTGCAGAACGGCGTACAATTGTAAATATCAGCCCTCTATTTCGGTTTTAGCATCCATTCGAAATTTCATATAAACCAGTTGGCTGTGGTAGCTTGTTCTAAGCTAAGATTCTGAGATACGTATACCGCTTCTGCTTAATGATTGAGCAATACTTCGAACATTTACTTTTCGATCTCTGACAGCTTTCATCATTGCAAAGCTTCCGTCAAAGCTTGAAGTGGCGTATTTTTTTTGTTAGTTTGTCAAAGTGTTTTTTCAAAATTGCTGAACAATTAACAACATTGTCAAAAGTGCTCTACCTACTCTCCACTTTTTCATTATATAGTTCACTATTCGCTTTCGTAATAACTTTCGTAAATTTTATTGCTTTTTTCTTTGGACTTACTTTGTCTACCTTACTGAGCAAAAAATAAAATGCGTAAAAATTAATTGCGACAAGTTAGTAGTACATAGGTTGGATCGTGGTCTCTGCTCTTGGCTGGCTTGATTGTAAATTTTCGATTTTATCATGGATATACATTTTTGTCAATTTAATTGATTAATTATATTGCACAATAGTCGTAAGGAGTCGTAGGAAGCTGAGTGGACTAAATTTGAGTCTCGGGCACAATAGTCGTACGAAATAATTACTTATTAGAAAAATGTACTTCGATAAAAATTAAAGCCTTATTTTCAAATGACGTTATTTGAAATAGCAGGATCGTGGAGCACCCTTAAAAGTCAGTGGATCGTAGTGCCATATAATTTTCTATTCAGTTCAGTACAACTCTCAATTTATACAAATAGTCATTTTGGAAACTTATCTGAACTACTTTCTCTTGGCTACCGCATTTATCCATTTTTCACTGAGAGCCTGAAGGTGACACACAAAAGAGTAACCTTTTTGATTATCTCAGGTTGTGCAGGCGGTCACTCCGTATTCTCAGATTCCCCACACTGAAAATTTCGTAGGTGGTTGCACCGATGCAAATGTCACAACGGCTGTAACAGTGAGGCAGCCTACAACGCCACCTAACAATACGACGATCATACAAAGTCAAGCCGTGAGACCGACCTACAATTATAGTAAGTTAACAATATGATGTCACTGAAAAGTAAATACGTTAACATAATTGTATGCCGTTATTTATTTTTGGACCGAAAAAGAGTTTTAGCTTTGCTTGGGTTAACAATGAAATGTATTCGGGGTTGTGATCTGTTATTCTAAATAAAACGGCCTTAGCAACTTAAAGCATATGTGGCATCTTGCTATCTTAGCTCATACGCATCTAAAAAAATGTGGTATTTTTTATGTTTAAAAAAATTTTTAACTCATATGGTTGTTAATTGTCCTCGGTAAACATATGATATTACATGCGGTATATAATAGAAACCACATCTTAAAAGTAGATATGTAACAAAATAGAAAAAGTGTACTAACCTTACTGAGACAGAGTCTTTAGCGTCGTCTTATTAAAGTGAGCAAGATCGAGTAGAGCTCTATAAGTAAATAAGTAACTTGAGGCGACGGCCATTGAATGGGTGGTCGTAATTTAGTTGGATTCTTTTCATGTTTCTTATTTGTACTCACAAAATTATACTGGGCGTTGTTCTGCTTATGACCCAAAGTTTTTCTGAGGGTAAGTGAATCCAGTATATGGCTCTATTTTCGATTAAATGAATTAGGAGGGCATGCATTTCATTGTCAAATAATAGTATTGTTATATTCTCCATTACTAGCACATCAAGTTTACACGGCGGAATCCACCGAGGAGAGAAGAAACAGTGGAGCAGAAAGCAGTGAGGATGCCGGATGTGAAAATGAGGAAACGACACTTGGCTCCGAAAAACGACGAAAACGACGAAAACGCGGGCCGCGTCGTCGGATTCGAAGTAAACGAACTGTTGTGGACTTACACAGCAAGTATCGCTCTGGTGCGATCTATATGATGCATAGAACATGCATTGTAAGCAATGCTGTCATTTAAAATGATTTTTTGAAAATTTTTTCCATGATTTTTCATCGTTCACATCGCAAAGACATCATTTAGAGGAAAAAAAAAGTAATAATAGTAGCGATAATCGTTTGATTCAGAGAACGGCCTATCCAATCAGGAATCTACAGATAGAACAGAGGTCTACAGATATCGTATTATTATTTATAGCGACTAATTTTCAAAAGCTTTTATTTAAGCACTTATGTATACTTCACTGCTAGCATTCTTGTTCAAGGGTTTCCCCAACAGAAGACTGTGTTCCTTGCTAGGCTCTATCCTCAGATTATACGAAATTTAAGGTTTTCGATTGTATCGAAATGTTTCTTTTTGGTATTCTAAACACATTATCAAAGTGTGGTAAGTAAAGTATTAGGTAAGCTATCTAGGATGGCCTGTGCTGAACTTTTAAGCTTACCTTTATAGGGCCAAACGAGTGAAGTTTCATATTTGTTTGAAGTAAATACCTACATATCTTAACGTATGCTTTGTCTAACACTCTATTTATATGCATATATGTATATATATGTATTTTATCGAGTGTACTGTTTATAGTACTACACTATCGAATAGGCCTATATCCGGTTATTTTAAAGGCGTCACCTTTTAATAAATTCGATAAAATATGTTTAATAAATTCTATTAAAAAATGTACTTGTTTTGTCACGATTCGTTTCTTTCTTTTTTTAGGTCGTATTGGGCAAGTGGATGCTTCCACGATGAATACCATCAGTCTAGCCCAGAATACCAATACGGAGCGACCGCAAATCGAAAAACAAAACGATGTTTTTCATTCGCGCGGAATAATTTCCAGCAAAAGCGAAATTCTGACCGGTACGTCTCTGAATTTAAAGGGTTTGTTTTAATCAAACCAAATTCCAAACATCCCGTGCTACATTGAAGTACCTATGGATAGAATAGAATTTTTGAACGTATCTATCTAGCTAGGACTATGTGCTCTTCAACGTGTCTTGGTAGAATTCAGATTTTTACTTTGTAGATTATAAGTGGTTTGAGGTGACTGAGGCATTTTGAAAGTGTTTCGCTTTTCTTAATTGCGAAAATAGAGCATCAAAAAGGTGCAACGTGCTATGTTCTATGTTAGAAACGAAATCGACCGATTACGACTGGTGCCAATGCCATTTGACGGGTATCCAGTGGTATTAATAGTTGCGCCATGAACAATCATCATCGTTGCTGACGGGACGTGTATGACGAAGGGAACAAAGTATAATCGTCTGAGTGTCACTTTAAAGATGAGCCCAGGAACAGTACTGGGCGTCACTACGGAGTATTACTAGAAGATTTTACAAACATTTTGTAGTAACTCCGTCGAAATCATTTTTAACTCTCGGAGAGTAAGTCGTGGGTTTTTCACCAGCGGCTCACACGTTGCTACTTTTGTTGCGTTTTTACCAGAAAAACTCGATGCCCGTATATTCTCGACTTCCAGATCAGCCCCTCCTGTAACTTTTCTTTTCGCTGAAAACACTTCAGACGAAAAGCCTTGAGGCGATCGAGGAAATACAAATAAAAGAGGAAGAGCGGAGTTTAGTCTTGAGATTGAGTGAAGGAAAGTGTTTTAATTAAAGCAGTAGAATCAACAATCCGTTCTATAAAGAGCAACCTTAAATATCCATAAAATGTGTTACAAATTTGGGCAATAACGCTTACGAGACGTCTATAGGCTTATGTTACCATTACATGTTTGCTATGAATTTATATAACTAAACCCTATTCAAATTAATCGAGGAAGAAACCATTCACATATTTATTTAATTTGCTATTTCGATCATAGGCAATATTGGCTTGAGTTCTCGACGGGGGATTCGACAGTCGCCTGAAAATTGCAGTACAGATGAGAGCCCAACGGAGCAGAATTTAGATCAAAATAGCTTAGTTAGCATATATGATACAGCACAGGGAGATGCTAAAGACGTATTAGGTCATATCAGCTCTTTAAAGGCATCGAAATCGTTTAATAAAAGCGACGAAGAAGAAATGGCCTTGTCCTTCAAGTCAGATGAACAGCAAAATGGTAGGTGTCCTTATTCGAACGTCTTGGAATTAAGGGTATGTTCAAAAGGCATTTTAGGACGTCCAGTAGTGATGGAATCCCTTAATATTATGCACTTGGTTTTATATTGTCTTGAAGCCCCAAAAGTTGTTTCAGATACAGGCAACAACGAAGGCTCGTTTGTGCATAAGGCTTCTTCGAAAACCAAGCCTTCAACAAAGAAAGTGTCTGTTCGAAAGGCAGCTAAAAGATCACACGGAGTTGGGGATCTTCTTCGAATGCTTCAAAGCGATGGGAGTTGCAATAATCAGTCACGTAAGGACTAGTCAAAAGGATGATTCAATATCGTGGGAATCTATAGGATGCCGTTCCAGTAGTAGAAGAATATTGCATTATAATACATAGTAAACGATAAATATGATATATTTAAAAAACGAAAACAATTTATATGAAATATACGACACAATGTTATATATATATATATATATATATATATATATATATATATATATATATATCTTTACAGTCATTATAAAGTGTAACAACAGATATGACTTCTACTTTCGTTGGGTTTATTTCCATAATGACAGCAAGTTTTGGTAAAATCCACAAATATATAACTGATTTTGTCCTATATACTAATTTCTGGTCAGTAGATATGATCGCTATCTTCAGTGCAATATATAGGAATGCGATAATCTTATTTTTACCAATATGCTCTACTGCGTTCAGCTGAAATATTCTTTTTTAAGGAAATTCTTATAATTGAAATTGATTGAACGGTACACCTCGTATCACACTATAATTAAAGCTATTTTTTAGATACAGTTAAATAGGACCAAAATCCGTTATTACTGTAATTATTATTGATGTTAGAAATAGGTAAAAGTATTATTGTCTACTTCATCTGTACATATGCACACTCGGATGGCATTACAGGTAACAAAATTGCTTCGAACACAACTACTTTATGTCAGTCAAATTATTCACATGCTGAACAACATATCGAGAGCAATACAATAGACTTGCCTGAAAGTCAATCCATAGAGTTTCGCAGTACAGAAGACAACAGTATTAATTCACCTCAATCCAAAACAGGTGGGTACGGTTTGTAAACAACTGAACTTTTTCGATTCCTTAATATTTAATTGTTTGGTAAGCGATGGTACGTAAAACGTCCGTTCTGCACTACTAGTAGTGCGAACAAAATACATTAGTCGGCTTAATACTTCAATGAAGTCGAACAGTGAAACGGTACGCGTTTGACGTACTTGATTAAAAAACGGGAGCAAAATGAAACAGGTAGTTTTAAAAAGGAGAGTTATACATGGTGGGAGTGTTCTACACGTGCTTGTTTACTTTGCGAATCAACTGTTTTTAGTACGAATTGTACTATACGATAAAAGCACCGTTTTGTTGGTGGACAAAGGTGATCGCCTGCACATCTTTCCATTTGAGGGCTATATTTCTAAACTAAGAAATCGTTGTCTGCTACAACTTTAGATGCCACCACTTGCGTAAACCATAACACTGCTACTCTAGCTAATCTCAACGGCTAGCTAACTGCATACCCGCACGAAAATAAACGTACATCAGCAGTGAAAGGCCAACCTGCCGTAACCACTCAAGTTACTTAGATTTGATTTCGTTGCCGTTGTATTACAGTCTTGACTGCAGCAACCATGCTCAAACCAGAAGTTCGTCTTGAGGACATTCGCGTTGGATCACTTCTTGTCGCGGGAGTAAGTCTGTTTTCAGAGGCTGATATGAGCGTTCGTTTCTTTAATGACGTCACTCTATCCGTAATGCATCTGAACGTTGCAAAGAAACAGGTATATGTAAAGCTGGAAAAGGGTTTGTTACCAGTGGAATACCGGGATTACAGTTTCAAAATCGAGTGGTCGTTACTTGAAAATGTGCGGCTACTCTCAGCACCTGATTTGCACTCACCAAAATGAAATAGCGTAGTTTCGTCGAAGTGTACATTTGTGTCCATAAATATATTTCCAACGCTTGTAGTTAAACATACTGAAAAAGTGCGCGGTCCTAACTGAATTATTATGAATTTCGGGGTGTTTTGGAGAAGCATAGTGTGGTTTTATGTCACACTGTTCAAACCGATTTATCAGGTTAGGTTATTGTATCGTTGGAGGTGTGGAGGACGAATACATTTCCTACTTGGTATATAATGCCACCTTTCCATTGGCTTAATCAAAAATCCAATATCTGCTGTATTTTAATGTCGGCCGCATATCCAGGGCCGCGTAATTTACTCTAAATAAAAGAAAAAAAAAACTCTTATCTAGCAAAATGAGAGATTTCTTTAAGAATAAAGTGACCCGTTGCACCAACCGGCCATTGTATTTTTAATCCAAGAAGGCTTTACATAAGGTTATTATTATATTGACGGGTATGCAGGAATATGATCATTTTATAACCTGATTTAGAGATTAAATTGGATATTCTTCTAATTATTAGATTAATCCTTAATAGAATTATGCATTGCACAGTTATTAGCTAAAATAAAAGACAAGACACTGTCGGAACATATTTTTCATTCCTGTAGAGTCGGAATGCTTACTATTTTATGTAGATTATTAAGCGAGATTGTTGGTGCATGATACGTATTGTATATTTTTACAGACTTGTTGAAGCTACTAAGAAGGACTTTGTTTAGGCGCATTTGAAAATGATAAATGTGCGCGCCAGAAGCGTCTGTCTTTAGCTGAGTTAGTTTTCCGCAAATAAAGCTTGATTACTTTCTCGTTGAAACCTGACTATGCTGAAATTGCTATTATTGTTATTTATCCGTTCACTATTGCAAGCTCAGCTCGCTAGCCAGCATGTGGACAGACCTCCTGTTCCGTACACGTGAATCATATAAGGTTAGAAGTAAAAGCCAATTATATACTTATCATAATAAAATAAAAAGCTTTTCCTTTTATTGTTCAGTGAGGGAAACTGAGGTTGTTTGCCTTATGCTGTGTGACTTGTCAATTATCTTGAAAATCTGCATATCTAAACAGCAGAAGCTTCCGTAAGTTCTAATAGACTGGCTAATATCAAAGTCACATAAAATATAACCTACAAAAACTTCATTATCTCAGCATGTGCATGAGCAAAGCACATACACGCATAAGGTACCTTTACGCAAGATTTTTAATGCGCCTGCACACGTTTTTAACATTTCTCTGCTCTTGCACATCATGTTAGAAGCAGTTTGGCATTCTCTAAGAAGTAAAAAAAAAACGGTTCTGACCCACGATTTCAAATAGACCAACGATAGATTTCGTATAGAATGCAAATATTTAATTGGTATCATTATGATCCTGTGTTAAGAACCTTTGAATATCGAAAGTAATGAATGCGCATCAATGATATATTATGCAAAACTAAAGGATTTATGAAGTCTATGAACGTCGGATGCAAAGTTTATATCGTGCAAAACAAAGCGTTATATTATACTCTGGCACTGAAATTACAAAAGTGGAGCTGAACTGGAAGGAACCGAATACTTTGTCACCATCCTTACTGTAACCCTAAACGAACGAATTAACAGGTTATTCGCTCATTGACGAAAAGAACACACCAGACTTTACAGTTTTGACATCGGGTTGTTTGTTCTCGTTATAACACGTAATGGCTAGTTATTATCTTTCAACAACTATTTCGTTATTTCCTCTGTTTGAAATCATTGTCACATGATAGTATCAATAATTTTTAATATTATACTTATACGTATTGTCGTGCTATTACTAATCTTATGTATATATATATATATATATATATATATCTATATAATATTAGTAATTATGTTTTCAAAGAAAAAGTACGGCGGGGCACTACGCAATATCTGCACTTCTGTTTCGACGTTAACCTCCTTTGCCCCTTGGAGAAGAAACTGGGCCCTAGCAATACGTCATTACCGGCAACCGGCTGTTGACCATTCGCCGTTCAGCCATCTAGTTTAGCCAAGTGTCTACTGAACCGGTTGCCTGGGGAATCTGTCAGTGCTCCTAAACTTGGAAACAGGCAACGTTGACTGATCTCAAATGAAATTAGCTCCAAATTTTCCGCCTTGACTGATTAATCCTGTAGTCTTTGCTATTTTAGCTGTCTCTATTAGGTAACAATGTAGGTGTTTTAGAATTAGCTAACTTTTTTTTTCCATAGATGATCTCGTAGATGGTAATCTGATACAGAAGGACCAATATTTTTACAGACACTCTTTTTGTTTTCCAATATAAAATCAAGCTCTTTTCTATCGTATGCTTTCGCAAAATCTAGGAGTCAGCAGGTTGCTAACTGTTCACTCCGGTGACTAAATTGAACTTCTTCCATGTTGCCACAATTCTATAGGCGCATTTTTATGACTTCCATAATATGTCGTCCTAAGCGGTATAGTTTTGTTATGAGGAGTACCATATGAACTCCGTTTGTCGTTTACAATCAACCATCAAGAGCTATACGTCAGAAGATCTTAGGTCCATAAGAATATGACGGAAGGCGTCGAGCAGCAGAACGGTAACATTTAAACTTTTTTTTCTTACACAGAAAAGCGCATTGCGGAATCTAGCCTACGACAAATAACATATGATCCAAATATTTTAGAGATTATCACCGTCACCAATAGTATTTAGGGACACAGAGCGAAATTTTTGTAGCTTTTTGTAAGTTTCTGCTGCTGATTTTTTTTTTAATCTAAATACATTTCACTGTTTTGTGACAGACTATCATTTACCAATCTTTTCACTTCGTGCGGTCGCTAACCATGTGTAGTTCCCAGTATCTATTCCTTTACATGCCGATATCTTTTCTTACTCTCATAAACAAAAGAACTTCCACTCTGCGCGTCTCTGAGAACTCACACGATTTTTATAGGAATTAAACAGCAATTACCGATCGGCATTTTATTTAGTGAGTGTTTTTTTTCATTTCAATTATTGTACAATACAACAGAATTCACTGCATCTTATTTCAATGGTAATCAAAGATAGGGCTGACTCGGTGACTAGCAGGGTGACCTTGTGGTTGATTCTAGGATTTGGCCTTCCGTCAAGTCAAGGGTTTTTCTAGGATCGTTATCCTACATGTTATTCCTCAGATTGCCAGATATTAACACACATCCGATCCGGTCAGCTAAGCTACCGCCCCATAAGGCCAGGACTGCTTGTCACTGCTTCATTAGTTGCCGTTACCCCACGGACATTGACTGACTGACTGACTGTACGGGAGACATTTCTATAATCGTACTATGTCTCTTTTTATTTCAACGATTGCTGCATGGTTATTCATTAATACTGTACAATATGAGTGTTTTTGTTTGAAACCGTTGAAATTGTCCATTGTACAGTGTGCATTTTTTGAAATATTTGGTGAGAGGTGTTTCTCTTGAGGACCTACGTGTTTGCTCCCTTTTGCTTTTCGAAAGGACTAAGAATTCTAGGTTTTTCCCAGGTCTCTTGGGTTTTACCTAGACAACACGCATATACCTCCTTTAAACATGACTATGTCATTATAATTATATAAGTAGTCATGAGATGTATTGTACTAGGTTTATTTTATTTGTAAGGTACGCTTTCTCAACATTAGGTTGCGCACATATCATTTACAAGTGGTCCTTCATTCGACTAGAAGCAAAAAAAGTTCATACTTGCGGAGATCATGCTTATGCCTTCCACTCTAGTAGGAAAAAACAGAGTAGCGTTTCTGAGAATTTCAAGTTCAGATCTTGCTGTTGATGCTGGAAGTGCACCTCCCTTCAGGGATAGCACAGAAGGCTGAAGCAGGTTAGTGAGCTCAAAACAAGACTCTATGTTTCTACTGCCCGCAACTAATCCCATAGGTTAGACTGACCCATTGGAGCTTACGGGGCTGCTAAGCTGCGTGATAAGATGAGCCGTCAACGAAACGAGTTGCAAAGGAATGTTTTATCTCCTCCTGGGACAACAATTGCTACTGACGATTTGATGGCTTCTAACGATAGACCCAGTTATCGTACTTGTCTTTAGGTCAACGGTCCTTCTACATTTACTGTAAGACAGCAGCGCAGCCCACGAGGGCACACTGTATTTCATGGAAGTGTTGTATTTTGCACTTCTATTACATGTTGGTATTTCCGGCATCAGTTTTGTTTTCTACTTTTGCCGTTGTCTAAAGACAGCCACGGTGACAAGTAAGAGCCGAAGGCTCACACGGTGTTCAATAGCATCATTTCAATTATGCTTGTATCAAGTTATCCGTTTAGGTACGCTCAATACACTCGTCGAAGCCTCTATTTCAGATAGATCATTTCCGCCATATTTAATCTGCTTCTAGAGACAATTCGATGCCTCGAACGTGTTGATAAGTATATAGTTCGCTATTTTCATTACAGATCCTTTTTAGTTCTCTTTTCTCGTCCATTTGCGATACATTAGTGTCTCGCTAGTGGCACCCACAGCTAGCTGCTACCATATCGTTGTATTGCTTCAGGATTACGTTTTCGCTATCGTCATAGTACAGAAGGCTGATGGAATACAGTTTATTGGGCACGCAGCATGGTTTACCAACACCCTCGCTGAGGCCAAGTTCGTTGACGATACTTTGAACCGTGGCGTGATTTGTCGGCCATTGATTTTGCCCCAGAGGGAACGAGCACGACCCCTAAAAAGAGAAAAATAGGAACACACCAAAATCGCAATGGGTAATTAAAAGGTTAAGTTTACAAATAATTGATTACCTTTATTATTATTATTATTATTATTGTATGTATATCCTTCGACCGAGGACACATGTTTGTAGGAGCTCCATTTTTCTGCTGAGTGGGCACGACATGTGAATGCATATTAAATAGTCCTAATGCACGTTTTGTTATACCGGGCCGGGCAGACGCTTGCCAATGCATCGTCTTACAAGCAGCCTTACTCCTCCCCTTCCCATTGACATCACTTTTAGCGGCCATGAAGTTGCACCTCATCAGCCAATTCGATGCTGTGCCTTTTGTTACTGTACGTTATTACGTCTTTTTATGCTCATGTGCGTTCTTAATGCATCAATGATACATGTGTGTCATTGGTCGTCGTCGTTGTCCGTGTTCTCGTCACCAGAAAATCTTCTCTTTCGATCAACCTCACCTACTGGTATGATACGATCATCGGCCGCATCGATTATTATTATCACCGTATTACGCATTTATAGTTTGCATACTGGACCAGGGAGAGAGATAGAGAAAGAGAGAGAGAGAAAGAGCGAGTGAGATAGCGTAAGGAAGAACATTAGGCTATGTTTCCCTACTTTCGCAGCTGGTTTCTTCCCCGCACGATGAATACACTCGTCATACGGGCAAATCTCCACAACCCGCTACCCACAGATGAGATATATGTAAACCAACTTGTTATTTCTTTGGTAAATAGCAGCAGTAGTAGCTCGCTAACTCTGTCTCGGTAATAGACTAGAAATAGATCAGGGCGGAGTGGACGATCTTATTAATACATGGAGAACGTTCGATGTCGACGCGCGGTAAGATGTGCCACGTGAACTTTGGCTAGAAGGTGGATTCGCCGGATTGTCTAGGCTGTAATTTTAATATCTCAGGATGGTAATTGCCCACCGACAGTACCTTTGGTCCTAACGATACAATTTATGCAATCGTCGAATTAGGGCCATTTTATTTGCGGTCGGCTGGGCTACTCACAGCAGCAACGTCTTTGGCGTTCATAAACGCTTAAGCTGCACCGTCCAGGATAGTACCATTGAACTCGCCTACTTGTTTTCATCGTGGAGACCCCTTTCGCGCATGATTATCACTGTCCGCTATGCCTAATATAGGGAAACTGCGGCTGACCTTTTCTCCGTACGACTAGCCAACAAGGCAGCATAAGAGCTTCAGGTCTATGGAGCAAAATTCCCTTTGCGCGGTCATGACAACATCGGCAACAACGATGAATCTTCCGGTGGCCTTACCCCCCAAGCTTCTTCGATCGCAGGGGGGCATCGCTAACGTACTCGAAAAATACGCGCACAGCCTTTAAAAGTGCAGGGACAGTATTAAATGAAAAGACCTCTTGCTGATACCGCGAATTCTCTTCTTGTCATCGCAGCGCATCAGAGAACACAGGGGCCTATGTAGGTTTGTCAGTTTTTCTTGCTATGCGTGTTATGCGCTGTTAAAGAAATTTACTTGGATTCCAGCTACCTAATGCGGGATGTGAAGTAGTATCTGTAGATGATTAACTAAAGAAGCTTGGTTTGTTAGTCGAGAAAAGTGTGTGTGACTGAGACAAGCAGAGCAAAACTGGATGTAATAGGTCTCTGGTTGAAGTTATTGTAGCACAGCAAATGTTGACTTAAGCATGTTCCTTAGTAGACTACATTTATTTGCGTGCATTTTGACGGGCTGCAAGCATTGTGTCGTACAGTTTGTATATGAATGAGGAAGTGATGACCGGTTTTTTATCAACCAGTCACATAATAATAGTGCTCCTTTGTTTATAGGCTTGCGAGCGTGAGTAACATTGTCTCAGTAAATAGATAGTGAACAAATTGCTTTGTATGGATGAAAAAGACAAACTAAAACGACGCAGACCTATCCAGTGGTTATTTTTCGACAAAGAGTTTTTTTTTACAGACTAAATCGATACAACTACATCTCGCGTTGCTATGATAGAAGTATGTAGATGACAACGGTATGTGTGCGTTGCCCTGTCGGTCTTGACCGGTATGTCCTTTGATGCACTCCCAAAAAGCAGAAACAATGAATGAGGTAAAGTCCTGTTTAAGCTGTCAATTAGCATTCGTCATCAGTAGTCATTCCGCCAATTATAACATGCTGACAATTGGTCCGCAACGGTGATTAAACAGGAAGCAGATGTAATAGTCAGTTCAGCCTGACCTATTGCAACACGCTTGCGCCATTTAGTCAGGCTCAGGCATACCGATATTGATTCCTGCAATACTCAATCAATATTCAATATGTATCTGCGAAGTCATTATCTACTATAGGCGCGAATTTGTCGATTCTGTCTCATCCTTTCTTATGAGCTAGTTCTCTCTGTCTCGCTATTTCGACTAAATGGTTTCGGTCAGAACTCGCTGCCTATTTAATCTAAGCTGCAAAGATGAGGCCAAACAACTTGATACAAGTGAACGGTACTGGCGCACAGTATGGACGTGCCCATAATCTATGTTCGTGTGCTTTTGTGATAAAAAATTCACGTCTGGGACGGCACCGCCTAAGAGTAGTAAGTAATGCGCCGTTAAGCGATGCTCATTCAGTTCCGTATGCAGAATATTCGTAGTCGCATGGTTCACCCAGCGGTCACCTCATCGCTGGAGAAGACGGCTAGGTAAACAAGATAGACCAATATTAGTGCTTCAAAATACGTACAAGGCATGTGCAGGTATACATTATCTCTCGGCATTCAAAACATACCGCTCTGTATGCGGAGCCCCAAAAGGGAGCTTTGCTTTTTCTTTTTAACGCGAAAAATTCCGGTGAACTATTTGTTATTAGATGGAGTTTGTATATGTTTCCTTGCCAAGCTCTATTAGAAGAACGCATACGAACCTTGCAATAATAAGCTTGATAGCCTTTCGGTGAAATGATCCACGATGACCAACCAATTTTCTCGAAATCGACGTAGAGGTCATATCGCGCACAAGGCTCCTTCGAATCTTGATAATGAGAATGATGCCCTGACAAAGGATCGGTGCTGGTTGAGCCAATGACTTCATATTGGGCCGCTGGTGAAAGTGTAGGAACGGACCGACGAGAACGGCTTCGAGAGTCGCCTGCAATTTAACATCAGCGGTATAATATGTAATAGAATAATATATATATATACATGATGATCTTTGTCGTTTTTGCAGGTCCAACAGTTTTGACTTTGCTGCGGGGCTCGAGTCCTATTGGTGATATGACAAATTTAGCTGGTTTACAACCATTAGATCAAACGTGTCCATGATATACATATGAGTTTGTCTAATTCTTATATCGCTCAGTTGATCTGCTGAACTAAGTTACAATTGTTAATTCGGCATCTCAAAAACGTTTATCAAAACCAATCTATGTAAAGGCAAAGAATCGTTATAGCTCCGTTCTAGTAACGTAATTAGGTGAATAGAAGCTATCGACATCAGCTAAACATGCACTTAACTTATCACTGAATAGTATATGGTGCATAAATATGAACTATAGTAGACGCTAGGAAATACCATTCGTGACGACCTATAAAAAAAAAGTGTTGGGTCTGGCTAACTGGGACAATCGGGTCGTTATAAGCGTGTATTTACTGTAGCCATTCCAATAGTTATTTGTTTTCTGTTAAGTTATGTGCAGATAGCTAAACAATCTGCACGAAAAATACCTAATCTCGCTAGTCGAGATTCGCGTGAATGGTCTGTACACTTAGGTGCTTCACCGAGTTGAAGTTGAGACGAACTGATTGATTAGCTCCTTTCATTTTTTTTGTTTTTAAGCAAAAAAAAAGTTGAATAGCGAGTATTTAAGCTTCATAAAAAAAAAAAACTTAAAAATGCAGCTTTGTACTGGTTCGTGTTAAATTCACGCGGGAACTGGTGGTTGGAACGCGCACCAACCTATTTGTAATGTGCGGCCGTTGTTGATACCGAACTGGACAACAATTTGAAATAAGCTTAGGAACAGCAAGGATTCCATTGCGTCCTTTGACGGCTACAGTTGATACAAAAGTGCCAACATTGTGTAGGGAAAACGCTGTGTATTACCCGTTGCGGTAGAATGAAAGGAGCTTCCATCTCCCGACCGTATTATACGTGGTTGAATCGTAAGTAGATTGCTATGTTTGTCAATAAGCTGTTGTTATTCTGGTTATAAATTAGAAGTGTGATAGTCAATTATGGCAGATGAGGTCTATGGCGAGAACGAACGATTCCTCAAACGGTTATTCGTTCGAGTCTATTCAACCGCTCTTTTGTGCAGCACGTCATGCAGGATCTTTGTGGGATATATTTGCATTGGGACGGTCGAATCAAAGCGGGCGTCTGAAGTGTCGAATACGACCGACAGGACATAGACATTATTCAGTTGAATACTGCAGGCAACATCCTTAGCTGAGTTCAGAAAGAGCTTTTAAAAAACTAGAATTAATTCGATAAAAAGAAAATTTGTTATCAGTGGGTCACCATTACCAACGTACTACCTATTTCGCGATAAAGAATACTTTCAAAACTGACCAAATTTTCGTCTCCTGGACGCCATACATTTTGTTCTTATCGAAATCTAATGTGTAAAAACGTTTTTTTTTTTATTACATGCAGCTAGTGTATTTAGGGTCAGCGTGAGATTTTAGATAATGACCGCGACAGGGTAGGGCTATAAGGGCTAAAATTTACTTTATGCTACCATTCAAAGCAACAGGTCCCACGGAGAGGAAAGTATAAGGAAAATAAAATATAACAGTGTATTTGTCAAGGACAGAAAAATCTTTTACTTTTGTGGCCGAAAAGAGCTTACTATAGCTTATTCATTTCCAAGAAAATATCTATTAAGGTCATTTATGTTAGTAGTCCATACGATTTCATGTTTTGGTTCAAAGAAAGGCGTCATTTAATACGGCTGAAGGAGAAATGTTTTTCGGCTTAGAAAGCGTCATGATTACGGCTATATAAGTCCCTGCTTTCTATTATTTACTGCTGAGGTAGAAAAATCAGAGATGACGATTTGTCTACCCCATGTCTGCGTGAGACTTTCTTGTGCAGTCTGGAGAAGCTTTTCGAATAGCTCAGGTCCTAGCAAATCGATGAATTGTATTTCATTCGTGTCCGCTGTTCACTAGGGCCAAGTTGACTGTCATTCTAATATAAATAACTATCTATGGTAAGTTTCTGTGATCATTGGCAATGTTATGCATATGTCGAAAGCATTCTGCTGTTCGACCGTTAATGAAGTTTTTTTTCCAAATCAATTATATATACATTGTTGACAACAAAGGCACACTTTAATTTAAATTGATTTATAAACACGTTTGCTCTAAGCTGATTTGTTTTTTATAAGTTTTCTTAAGTTCTCTGTGATGGCATTCAGACTCCACTTCACCCTGGCCACTATGGTCCCCAGCGTGACCATGCAGTAGAATTTTTATCAATTCATCTTATCGACGATGGCGTTTGTTGCACAGTAAACAATTAGGATTTCTGCTTCCTGAATGACGTATAGGAAACAGAATGGTTGCTACCGAAATTATGGGAATAACGTATGTTTTCAGTTTGACTGTCCGACCATAAACGAATACTGTCTAGTTAAGTTCGTCCTCGTGTTGTTTGCACACAAGCTATTAAAAGTGTACATCTTTAGGGTTAATTTGTTATAAAGCACTTTGTCTAGGTACATGTAAATACCCCTGGACCTTTAGAACAGCTTAATTCCTCTCGCGTTTAGACACTTCATGAAGTATTTCTATGTGACATAATAGACTGTATTGGTTATAACTATTACAGCTGTTGAATTTTACCAATGCCCACCGTCGACTCTTTGATTCTTGTAGCTGCTGGCATGACTTCTGAACCATCGGCGAGAGTCGCGGCTGTTTGCCCTGTAGCTATTGCTTTTTATAGAACGTAACCTGAGTTCCGCTTAGAAATGGAGGACTAGCGAAAAATGAGGTGTTTTTTTTGCGAAAAAAAAACTTAACTGTTCCACATAACATGGTCCAAGAAGAAAACTCTAGAAATTTGTGCGAATTTATGACCTGTACACGTATGAAACCTTAATATCAGTAAAATTCGAAAAGAAGAAAGTGGCCTATGTAATCTTCATTCTTATATAGCCCAGCTTTCCCCTACACACACTCGAAGGCTTAATTATCATATATCACACTATTCTCATATAATATAATTATAATAATAGTAATTGTTATAACTAGATGGATAATGCGACTTATCGACTTACCGAGAGAATACGATTCGGTTGTATTACCATTGCTGCTCATTTCGTTTCGTTGACTTGATCGACCGTCATTACTGAAGACGACAAGTACAGGCTGTTTTGATACGGAACCAGAACTCGCTGAAGTGCTTCCACCAAACGAGGCCGAAGATTCGCCCGATGACGTCCTGAACGTCCCTATTTGTTTTCGAGCGAAGCGAAATTGCTGATCAGGCATGCGACGACCCTTCTGGGTTCGGACGGTGAGAAACAGACCGAGGTTAAGTGCCGGATTACGAAGCCAGTCATCCACTGCAGCCTTTACATAAAACACCTGCGGCAAAAGCAAAGGGAAAATAAAATTAGATGTCGTGTACATCGAATATACGTCAGAATAACCTTACACCCGTTATATGTTTGATGATTCGTTCAAGCGACCGCCCTTCTGCGCCAAAACGATAGAACCTGCTTCCAATATATGAATGAATGAATAATACATGGTACAACCGTATACACTCCAATTAAATTCTAACTAACGGCTTTAACCTTTGTTCTGTCAATCAATGTAATGCAGCGTTGTCTAGATATAGACAAGCAACAATCGTTACTGAAAGACAGCATGCGGCTATAATCTAATCGTTGACACATTTCAGCACCGCAAGGCAAAACGCTAAGGCAAACATGACAGCTATCTATCTTTTCTGCCCTTTTTTTTCGTCATAAGCCGATCGATCTATGGCCGAAATTAACCACTATATGGTTCTCTTTGAGGTTTACCTTATTCTTGCTGTTTTCGGATTTAAAGATTCAATAGTCTGTACGTGTTTTATCGAACATCGTTTTAAGTAAACAACCATCCAGCTAAAATGGATGGAAAAAGCTCGCAAAGGACTGCCCCTCTTGAGCATCGAGCTTCATTTAGACATCAATTCTGAAGCGAATTGTATTTTGCGTTGTATCGGTCATAATTGCATTTATGTCATATATTAATTTTACAGAATTACGTCTAAGAAGTGACGACGCTTTTTATTTCGTCCGTTGTTCAATCCCAGGTTGCACTATTTTTTGTAACATACAGTTTAAACGTATATCCAAGTCTATTAAAAGTTTGCTTGCGGCGCTGTTTTGCTACCCTGTTTTGCACTGTCATATATTTCTAGGAGACGATGGAAAGGTTTTGTTACAGATCCGGTGATAATTACATTGTTTTGCAAGCTGTAACAGCAATTGCTTGCCCTCTAGCCCACGGCAAACTTCTGTCCAAGATTTTCTACTCTTGTTGGCACCGTAGTTTGTGCTCCTTGTAGACCAAAGCCCAAAAAACCACCGAACATTTTTACACAATACTAGATGCTGGGTGTGGGCCTGACAGGTCTGTAGAACGAAAGTTTGTGGCTTCGCCGGATTCTTCTCTTTAAAAACCCTTTGTGATATTCGAGGTGGGGCGGTTGACATAGCTTTACGTGAGTCATCCAAGGAAGTGGTGTGGGCCTAGCTGACCGATGTAGCTTTAAAGGTGCGGGCTTTTCGTCTGTTAAGGAAACGAAACAGGACAAATGAAAGCTCCCAAAAGCCTTCAGTAAAAGTCTTCCTCTTTGGACCCATTTTGCTCGGACTCTCTTCTGGAACCATCGACTGACACACACAGCAGGTTCACCGACGTGGTGCTAGGGGCAAAAAGTGAACTGTGCAGTAAACAAAGACAGCAAATTGCGCTCGATTTGCACATTGCTTTGCTAAGATGCCGTTAAGAAAAGAGTAAAAGCTGGGCTGACTGAATTCGTGAACATTCTTAGCTACTGAAAAGCTGACCGGAGGCAGAAAACATCAGCTGGGGGAGCTATAATGGGGATAGAGAATATAGAAAAGCATTGGATAATGCTGCTACTGCTTCTGTTGGTACCGGGCCCTTTGAGGCCGTACGTCTTTTATGTTGGACCTATATCCAAGTACAAAAAAGCTTTTGCTTCCGAAAAGTGGACCTCCAATAGGAAAAGAAGCGAAAAAGAAAAATCATCCAAATGCAGGTCAGGTCGTCTCGTGTGTCCAATGGTTTTGACTGGTAAGGCAGGCGTCGATAAGAAATCCTAGGTAATCGATGGCGCCTTGTTTTGTTGTTCGTCGTTAAGCGCTTGCTTTTGCACCATTCATGGGCACATAAAAGTCCGTGCATTTACGCCTAAACAAAGGATGCAAGAAATGGGAGTTGAGTAAAGTAATGTAAGAGACTGCTAGGCTCAAAGGAAATAAAAAATAGATAAAAGAAAGGGTCCGTCGTTCAAGAACAGAAACGAGACGGTTCAGAAAAAACACAGCACCTACCCGCATGGCCTTGCACTCTGTTCTTATAAGACATTCTTTGTGCACTCGCAGCAGGTGAAATCAAGCGTTTGTTTGTTGTCTGACGAAAGAAAGCCGAACTGTGCGGTACCAACTGCCAAAATTGTACCAATTTTGAGCTCCTATCGTATTCTCCTCTTCGTCTCTTTCCCCCGTCTGTAGCTCCTTTTTACTTCCGCAAGAAAAACTTGTACCTTGCTCGCGGTCAATAGCTACTAGTGGCGCCAGTCGCGGGCGCGTTAATCGTGCAGACGGAAAATGAGGTCAGGCGGCTGTCCCGAGAATAGAACACTGGGAAACGTCAATGGTTTTTCGTGCGGTGGTCAAGAAATGGTGGAAAGGGAACATTGACTAACAGGACAACGATGCCGAAAAACAGTGGGAAAAGTTGCCGCGGTAGGAAAGAGTTTGATAAAGAATGATAGCATTACGAGTAGAAAAGCAGACGCTGTAGACAACTCGAGAAGCAACGAAGATCAGTCAGCCGCCTCTGGCAAAGTTATCTACCTACGGAGAGCTGAAGCAGTCAAAGAAGGTGAAGGAAAAAGGATAGAGTAGCAGTTGCCGCGACAGCCGGGAACGACGACGGCATTAGGGTCACAGTGAAACGCCGAAAAGTAGGCGAACGACTGGCAACCTAAGAATATGGAAAGGAAAAAGACGAATTTGGCAGCTTTGGCGGAGCGTTAGTTAGTCGAATATACCTAAAAACTACTACGAAGAGAAAGGGAATAAGTTGGAGCCTGAACTGAAAGGCAGTGAAAGGTTTTGTGACTGCTACCTGACTTGTGGACATAGGACACTGCGAAGTGAAGAAGACATCAGGGGAAAAGTAAGTGTTTACTCTAGATGCTGGTTGGCCTCTGCCGCTGCGTTACACGAGTCCTACTTAAACTAAGACATTTTTGCGGCAGAAAGCCGGCCAGCAGGCCTCGACTGCCTTTTTTGCCACGGATGCCCCGAAGGGACTACAACGTCCTGCAATCCCAAAGTTTTTGCCTGGTATTCAGTCTTAACTAGTTTCTCGCACGACATTGGAAAGTGCAAGCCAGCATCGTCTGGTTTATTGGTGGATCGATCGGCCTGCCTATTGGTTGGTCAGGTGCCGGTAGACACGAAGCAGAAATTGCCAGTTGCATAAACGGCTTAGCCAGGGCGAGCGCTTGCAAATTATAGTCGGCCCTGGACAACTTGCCTAAGTAAAAGGCCTGGCGAAACCGTACCGAAACGGTGCAATATTTGCACACATAACTGTGTACATTCGAGACGCTGCATAAAAAGAGATACAATGGGTTGGTGTCCGAGTGGAAATAGTGCGTGGCACTGTTGGAAGAATAGTGAAGAGCCGACTCACTAACCACTGGCCTGCTGTTGAGCCCTTTGCCCTCGAAAAGGCCGCCGAGTTCAATTATTCAGCACATTCATGTTGGCAACAAGTATGCGCACAGTCTGTAGCGATTTTCCCGTCTGCAACCCTGTCTACATAGATGTTAATGCCCTTGCTAACTGGTCATCAGAAAATGCCGTCCATTCACTTTGCATTAAATTCGCCAGCTCTGCTAGTTGTATATCTAACATATCTGTCTAAACCATGCCTTGATCACTTTAAACTAGTTCGTACTCTGTGATGCTTTAATCGCAGCTAACGACAGACCACTGTTTACCATAAGGACGCGTTGTCCACAACGTACTTTCAAATCGTCGGTCCGCCATCGAGTCTGGACAGATAGTGTAGCTCGTGCAATACTATAGCACCGAAACTAGCATTGGACAGATAGTTGTACACCCTCTGACAGACGAAACAAGACGAACAAGAGGACACGTGGCGAAGCACGCCTGGGCTACCTAAGCTAGACCCAGCCGCTCGACGATGATACGTATGCCAGTATCATGAATCTATCCATGGCAGTGTAGCTGTCGGCAGTTGGTCGAAGGGGCGGATAGACTAAACGTGCGCCCAGAGTAACATAGGCCGATATTTCACAAAACGCAGTGTCGGCTGCCGACTCAACGTCAACGCATTCGTTTTGGTTACTAGCTTGATCGCGTTCGGTCAACTTTACCAGCAGCATGTTATAACTATGTATTCTGCTATATTCTGGTTAAGGAATCTCTTGCTAGTGGCTGCTTTCTTGCTATGAAGCTTCTACCCGTCTGCCACTAATTAGGTGTAAGAAGACAAGTACGCAAGGCAGAGATCATGTAAGGCGGATTCTCCGGAGAGTGCAAAGGGTACGTTCTATTTTCGCTTCTATGATAAGAGCAGCAAGCTTAAAAAATGACTGTCGCCACATCACGCCCGACTGTCGACAAACCGTACTTCAGTACGATGGCTGAATAGTTTGTATGTCTTTGTAGACGCCTGCAACAACACCCCACTCTTTATTCTTAGCAGCATAAGTTATAGAAAAATTGTATCAAACTAAATAGTGTCAGCGACGCATGCCCAATTCTGGTGACAACCCCGAGATATTCGACAATACACAGGGTACTCTTTCGCATGTCCTTACCGTGTTGACCTGAATACCCGTACACATACAATTACCGTCTACTCATGTGAATAGATTTTGAATCAACAGTGGCCAGCCATAAGGCGCAAAGCTGTATTGCTAATTGGACATTTCATGGCAAAATGGGACCACTGGGGATGACATTTGCAGATAACGTCTTCCCTTCTCCACCTTCGCGAAAGCTAGATTTCTCCCGTCTGCATTCTGCATACCCCACAGAACAACCTTGTGGTCATTCTGGAATTGGTCTTGTTTTGTCCTGAGAATAGTGCTAGCTAACTTTTTTTTTCCTTTGGCTTGCCACTTTATTCTAAGAATGCAAGAGACGCATGTGTATACTTAGTTTTCGAAATGCATAACAATAAACATATTTAAAGCGTTCATATTGGCCGTGAGCACCAACGTCCATATGCTGTCAGAGTACTGGTAATTTATTCTCTAACCACTTCCGTGGTAAGCCAAGTCTAGTTCTAGTTTGTAATAA